GAACTCACGAACCGCGAGATCATGACCTGAGCCGAAGTTGGACGGCCAACCGACTGAGCCACCCAGGCACCCCAAAACTTATTTTAGAGAGACTGTATGAGTGGGGGAGAGGAGCAGAGGGAGAGAATATTAAGCAGGCTTTGCACTAATAGGGGGCTTGATGCCAGACCCTGAGATCATGTCCTGAGCAGATATCAAGAGTCGGAAGCTCAACTGACTGAGCCACCGAGGCTCCCCTACTTTTCTTATCTTTAAATTTACATCACACCATGTAAGTGATACAGGAATGCATTTTTATCATAGAAGTTCCAAACAGTACAAAATTACACAGCATAAAAACACAAAAGCTTCCACTTTCCCCTCTCCTCACTCTCTAAGCAAGCCCTTTGATCAGTTTGGCATTTTCCTTCCCTGTGTTTTCTTTTTTTTAATGTTTATTTATTTATCTTGAGAGAGAAAGCACACGCAATGCAAGGTGGGGGGAGGGGCAGGGAGAGAAGGAGAGAGAGAATCCCAAGCAGTCTCCATGCTGTCAGAGCAGAACCCTATGCCATGTTTGATCTCAGGAATGGTGAGATCGTGACCTCAGCCAAAATCCAGAGACAGATGCTTAACCAACTAAGTCACCCAGGCATCCTCCCTGTCTTTATTATATGCATATGTGAGCGCATGCGTGCATGTGTGTGTCTAGATATATATTATTTTGCGTAAACTGGGTGAGGTTATATTATATGCATTGCTTAAATATAACAATTCATTCTATATCATTTGTTATGGAGTATTTCCCAGACTATATTGATGATAAGTTATTTAACCATTTCCTGATGATAGAAATTCAGGTTGTGACCAAGTTTTCACTTTTGAAAACTACAACATTGCGATGAATATTATTGTTTATGCATGAGTATTTTTATAGGGTACATTCTTGGAAATGAAATTTCTGGGTTAAAAAGTGGGTACCTTAAAAAATTTAAAAGATGCTGCTCATCCAGTTGGTGAGGGAAGGATTCTTCCCCCAGGGATAAGGAGTGACACCCAACAATAAACAGATGACAACAGTTAGATACATACATTCATAGCCCAGGGGAGGAGGACATTGCACACCATGCAAGGCCACGTGGGTACCGCACTTGGGAACAGAGAGAACAATCAGGGATATGGGAGTAAGGCTTTGTGGTAACGAGAAGAGAGGTACCTCCTGGTTCCCCCAGGATGATGTGATTGGCTTGTTTCAAATCATTCCACAGGCTGTCAGGAGACTGACGCCTGATACTCAGGAATGAGCAAGTATAGTGCCTGATCCCATTGATAGGAAGGGCTATTTGGCCAGTGAGCGGTCAGGCTGAGGAGCAGAACTTGGAGTTATGCCACTCAGGACCCTCCCCGTTTTACCAAATGTCAAGGTAGTACACGATATTGGACCTTAATTTTAGTTGTTATACCATAGCTGTTAGAATTTTCCCGAAACTCTATATGGTCTTACATTTCCGTAGTACATTAAATGCACGTTTTCTTTTATCGATGTCTACAAGAGTTATTTCTTCTTAATGTTTTCCAATTGAATGAGCACAAAAGGGTTAATCTTGTTTGTTTTAATTTGTATGATGATATGAAGCATCTTTGCAACGATCTTGGATCATTAGTGTTTCTCATTCTGTAAATTGGAAGTTCATAATCTCTTAGGGTGGCCAGACTTTAAAAACATGAAGGACGCTCAGTTAAACTGAAATTTCTTATAAACAATGAATTTTTGGGGGCACCTGGGTGGCTCAGTAGGTTAAGCATCCGACTTCAGCTCAGGTCATGATCTCGCGGTCCATGAGTTCGAGCCCTGCATCGGGCTCTGTGCTGACAGCTCAGAGACTGGAGACTGTTTCAGATTCTGCATCTCCCTCTCTCTCTGACCCTCCCCCGTTCATGCTCTGTCTCTCCCTGTCTCAAAAATAAATAAACGTTAAAAAAAAAATTAAAAAAAAACAATGAATTTTTTATATGTCCCAGTTATTGTATGCAAGTATATTATCTTGTCCATTTTTCTTTGCTGTTTTTTAATTTTCAAGTGATTTGTAGAAACTCATTGAATTATCTAAATTTTAAACTTTTGAGTATTACACACAAATCAAATATTTTCTCTTATTGTGTCACTTAAATGTTTTAAGGGGCACCTGGGTGGCTCAGTGGGTTAAACATTTGACTTTAGCTCAGATCATGATCTCATGGTTTGTGGGTTCAAGCCCCACATCGGACCATCTGCTGTCAGCATGGGGCCAGCTTCAGAACCTCTGTCCCCTCTGTCTCTGCCCCTCCTCTACTCATTCTCTCTCTCTCTCTTAAAATAAACAAACTTAAAAGATTTTTTTCTTAGATTATGGTATCTTTTGTCCTATAAAACTTTTAAATTTTTATGAGCTCAAACCTAATGTACTCTTTTATCGACTCTGGGTTTCATATCTTGCTTTCAGAGATTATGCCCAACCAGAGATCATGCAAACATTTTTTTTTCCCCTTTCACCATTAGTTATTTAATTCATCAGGCACACAATATTTTATTGTGAGGACTTTATGCAAAGAATAGATAGTGCAGGGAGGAAAAGGCTCTTAAAATGTAACCCAAGATATCTAGGATGGGTTCACCAAGTGAAGCAGAAAAAAACCATACACGAAGTCAGACATCAATTAACTTACTCATAATGAGAATCTCTAACTGTTCAGCAAGATGCTAGACTCATCAGGGCTACACATTCTTTCCTTCTGGACAAGTTCCACAGGAAGCCAAGTTGTCTGAAACTGGGAGGAGAGACTGGGACTGCCCGTGGAACTGCCATGGGAATGACCTCCTGCCATGTGCTTCAGAATCACTTAGGTGGGACTGATGAGTATTGGGATGTCCAAACCCCATCTCAGACTCTCTGGGAATGGAGCTTGGGAATCTGTACTTTAACAGACACCTCAGGTGATTACCAATGTTTGAGAACTAATGGTTTCTCACCTTTAGGTTGAGAGCAGCTGATGTATCTTGACCTAAAACAATAATACGTTTAGAACAAGGGTGGTTCTCTCCTCCGACTGGGCTGGATGAAGCTCTGAGATCACCTTTCGCCACCATTTGGTCTTTAGATATTTTCATACCTCTGATTTTGTTATAATGA